CAAATTTCCCAACTACTGACAGATATCCTATCTTGGTTTACCAATAGGTGTTAATACAATATCGTCTTGTGACACAAAGCGGACAGTTTAGGGGTCATCGATGATTCGGCCGAGGGAATTGAGAGAAAGCAAATTGGGATCTCCGGCAATGGAGAGAACCACATGTACATAATCGCGGAGCTTATGCTCCGGCGATGTGTTTCGGGTACAGAAACAATGGGGTTGCGATCATGAGTAGATAGTTGCGATGGTGTCTGAGGCGGTGGCGGGGCTGATTGTTTTAGCTTCGGCTGGTTGTGGCATTGGTATGTGATGGAAAGTGAGGCTTTGGAAGCTGCATTGCAGATGACAATAAAGGGTAGAAATGTTGTCGTTGAGACGGGTATGAAGAGGCGAGGCAAGAGTACTGGGTCGGGGTTTATGTATATGGGCTGAACTTCTGTGGCTAATTGCGTGGACTGCTATTTAGTTTATTTTTATAGTTATTAGGCTGGTTGTGTTTATTGGGTTGTTAAAGTAATTGGGCCAGTTATTTTAATTGGTTTGATTTTATTGTGGATTGTTAGATTGTAGTGGGCTGAATGTGGTGGTGATTTCGTTTTTGGGTTGTATCTGTTGGGCTGGGAATGGGTTGTTAATTGATTTAGTAGTTTAATGGCTTTGGATTGATGGGCAAATGGTTTGAGTTATGGACTGGAAATAAGGAATTAATTTGGGCCGTTTGATTAAGGTGATTATTGGGATGCCTATTATGTAGTTTTATGGGGATATTGGGTTATTTATTTTATGATTTTTTTTTTTTTTCACTGTGGGCATACCTGTTATCTTATGGGATATTTGTGTTGGCCTATAAAAAAAAAATAATAATAATAAAAATAAAAAATAAAAAAAATGAAGAAGAAGAAGAAGAGAGAGATGGGAGTGCAGATCGTTGCGTTTTGATTGCTCGGATAATGAGCTAAAGTTTTGGATTCTAAGAGGAGGATCATCTTTAAGTTTTTGGAGTAGGCTGTTTGGTGGGATCTCTTCCAACTGCAGCATCGTTGTTAGCGATATATTTCTAGATCCTTGGCCGGTGTATTGGCGTTAGAGTTTTAGTCGGAACACGAATTATGTGTTCGACTATGTTCTCCTGACAAATAGAGCTTATTGTGTGTGTTGGCACACTTCGTGAATTTATATTGGAAATTCTTCTTGGGAAGTGAGTTCTCCGGAATATTTTTGGAGTGGTTGAATCTTCGATTCTCTTTGATCATGACTCAACCTTTTAGGTGTGGGTTTCTTGTGGTTATCCACGATTGATAAAATTTTGTTAACGTGCGACTCTTCGGTGCATCAAGTGTGGTGTGAGCATTCGGCATTTTGGTGATGATTTGTTAGCGTCGAACATTGATTCTTTTTTGCTGGGAATCATATCGAGTTTTGAATCAATTCTTGGGTTTGAAGTTTAGCAATGTCGAGCTCTTGGTTTATGGGTTCCACGAAAATGTTGACTCGATGGCACATTCAGTTTATGATTGCAAATTGATACTTTTACCACCATCAATTTGAGGAGGATGTCAATAGAGTATAGTAATATATAAGACCAATATTTCTCTATGATAGTTTTCCAATAGTGCAGGATTATTTTCCTTAATAATTGATTGTGTAATTATTACACAATCTTTTCTTTTTGAGTTATTTCCTTTTAGGTTTATTTGTAACCCTATAAATAGGTCTTCTCCTTAGTAATATTCACAAGACTTTATTATATACAATTTACAATTTACTTGACAGAAGATTGTTATTTTTAACAATAATGAAGAAATTGTTGTTCATGTTGAAGAAAATGAAGTTTTTACAATTAATGATTAAGATAAAGTGCTTTGGTATTTTATTTATTTTCATTATTATGCTTCTGTATTAATTTTTTTAATATTAATAAATTTATGTTAAATTTTATCACACGTATCAACGTATCCTAAATTTTTCAAAAAAATCGTATCAGCGTAACCGCATCATATCATACCTGAATTACGTATTCGTATCCATGCTTCTTAGGGTTTATCTCTCTAAAATAAATAGCACTTAAGACTAAAGAGTCGCTCGAAGATGATTTAGAAGTATTGAAACATACATGAATTTGGAGCCATATCAAAACATGATTTTTGCATAAATTAGTTGCAACTTGAAAATGTGAAATTCAATTAAGCCATGCCACTAAGTTCTATCTTCCATGTAATGGTGCATATATATCATTTTTTTCAGAATTCCAGAACTCGTATTTTCATGCTTCCAGCTCAGGATCTCAGGAAAAAAATGCTTCAAACTATTTAACATCAAATGGCATAGAGCTTGTGTTACCTGTACTTCGAGTTCACTGCTGAAATTTCTTTCCTCTGATGCGTTCCATTCTGTTGTTCTACAGCTACTTTCAAATTTTCAGAATTTCTATCTGATAATTGAATTACAGTATTTGACTCCGATGAACCAAGATCACAATTTTCTTCTGAAGTGACATAGAACAAAACATCAACAGTTTGCTTTCATAACCAACAGAAATTGCAGAGTAAATAATATGTGACATTTCCACGAGGTTGGCTACAGAACATATTTTATTGTAAACTAGCATCTGCATAGTGCACGATGCAGTTCCATAGGAACGTTCAAAGAACCTAAATTTTAAAACAAAAGATAAATTTTAAAAATAAAAATTGATCAGCTCACTACCAAATCTGGAACTCACTAAACATTTATTTCTGCTTAATTACTGGCCTATAGTATCATCTATCATGGAAAATTTCAGCCATTTGTAGAACTTCCTTAATATACAAATTTTTCTTCCATTAAAATGCTTTCCTTACATTATTCAAAATCAATGAACTGGCCAAATTAATCATCTGGTCCTCACTTACATTTTGCAAAAAATAAAAATAAAAAATCCAAGGAAAATATGGATATTGAAGATTTAGTCGGTAATAAAGCAAATAATCAAACATAAACTGGAGACAAAAGTGTGTTATATACCTGCAATAAGTTCTTCACATTCTTTAATCAGTTTGGAAAATCTTTCATCATTTGCTAAGGAAGAACCTTTTTCCAAAGTTGCTTTAGCAGAATAATATTCTTCAAGCTTCAGGAATGCGGTGCTGAAACAAGGGAATCCCAATAGGCAATAATTAGCAGCTAAAAACAATGGAATCAACAACTAAACAAATAAAGGTATGGCGTCCACTTTGTATGTTTACAAGGTGAAACAAAAATTGTATTCAGATAATCGCCAATAAGGCACCTACTTGTACAAGCCCCTTTAAAGCTTTTCATTAAACCAAACTTTGGAATTGATAAAGTCAGATATCAAAAGATAGGGGCCGCACATTGGCTCTTTTAATTCTTCTTGTTTAGTTATTTTTAGTTTCTTGCATCTTAAGGGGCCAAATATGCCCTTTACACTTTTAGGTTTTTTTCCCATGTGAAATTCGTATTGAACACTTCATAATTTGTGGTTTTCTGATGGGTAATTGATTATTTAAATTTTTTCCGAGACTTTTCTCCTTTAATCATCATGCTGCATAATCTGCTACATCATATTATTATAAAATCGCAAGTCACGTCTATGATAGAGACGGGTTGTTCATGAAACACAGTTGGTGAAAATCATATGATGGGTTAAAGCATCCATCTTCAAGTGTTGGTGTTGGAACAATTGCATCAACAAACGAAGATGTTAAAGCAGGTTAAACCCCCATTTGGCACCCATTAATTTTCATTCCATTAAATTTCATTTTTCTCTCTCTTATTTTCAACCACACAATCTTTCATAAAATAATAATACTCGTAAACCGAAAACTTTTCATTCTTTATCAACCACTCATTTTTAAAAAAAAAACACTATTCCACCCATTTTCATTACCACAAAATGGGGGCCAAATGGGGGCTAACAATTTTCACAGAAAAGCAATGGTTTACAAATCGGTGGAGGACTCCAACAATGATGAAAGCCCTTTCTTTTCTTTCAATTCCAAGTAGGGAGTGGATGTTGATTTAGGCTAGGATTAAGATGGCATGCTTATTTTTGATGCTGAAGTTCCACTGAAGTTGATGAACAGATTGATTTAAATTCAGATTTAGAAGACGAAAGTTGTAATGGCCCACCCATTTTTGATGAGGATGTTGATGTTGAGACGTGTGGTGCAACTGCATCTTCGAACAAGCATAAAAGTGTACCAATTTAAGATATGGATGCAACATGGAGAATAATTTAAATTCTCAAATAACTCAATGCTAATTAAGACAATATTTTATGGTGCTAAAGGAGCAAATGATTTGGGAGGTGTGGAGCATGAAATATGCAAGATAATACAAGGCTTGCTTTTGATGTTAAGGATGTGAAAGAGGTCTACTTTCTTCCAACTAATGTTGATGCAGGAAGTGGGAAGCATATTGAGAGAACTTTTGACACACAGTGTATGCAAGCTGCATGTGACTGAAATGTGTGCACCAGAACGTGGTCCTAATTCCATAATACCAAGTATTATTCAACAAAGCAAAAATCAACATTATATTCTGGAGAGATGTCTATCACCTGCTCAAACTTTTCAATATTTTCACAACAAAGGCACATGAGATGAATTTTATGCTAGAGTAGACTTCTCGAATGGATTCCCATTAGGTCTCAAACAAAGGCTACGGTCTTATCCGGACACATCGTTCGTGCACCCTACCAAGGGCTCACTCACTTAGAGGTGGATTCCCATTACAAGGACGTGGAGAAGACGTGGGGGCACAAGATTCGAGGACAAATCCTTTTCCCACTGAGGGAGAATGATAAAGTTGGATGTCACAAAATAGAGCTGGACACTGGCTCTTTGAATTTTTCTGTTATTTTTTATTTCCTGCATCTTAAGTTATCTAGGGGCATATATGTCCATTGCAGTTTTAGGGTTTTCTTCCTAGGAATAGTTTGTTGTTTTTTGGTGGGTTACTGATTATGAAATAAAAATTGAGGGTTTTCTCGTATATTTCAATTATTTGCTATTTTTTACGAATCAACAAATATCTGATGGCCAGACCCTCAGCATGCTAATATATTCCGAATTATTATTTGATAACCATGTCCACATAGTTGAGATTTATCTGAAATTACTGAGAATTTAGTGTTTTAGGTAATAATCATGGAAATCCCGATAAAATCTGAGAGTAAACAAATTTTACATGCTATGGCTAACAAGTTTATCAATATAGATCATTATTCTACTCTTGGGACGCCAGGCAAGTATGATACTATTATTAGTTCAATAACCTAGCCTGAAAGGATATATACACAGGATATAAATAAGGAAGTAGACTTCCCACAAGACTGAACACCGCTAGATTCGATTAACACTTCATCAATTTTTATGCTAAGCATAACCATCTAACAGAAGAAAGAAAATATACAAACCCAAAAGGTAAAATTGGAGATACCCTTTGCGCAGGTATGCTTTCGCCATGGAGGGGTCCAATTCAATCGCTTTATTTGCATCAGCAACAGCTTCTGTCAAGACATTGCACATAAAATCACTGAGGACGAATTGACTAATAGATTATCAATAAACTACACTATTCAAGGAAAAAACGCCGTCACAGATGACCACACCCAATCACCTAGAAGCATAGACTTTGTAAATCAAAATTAATGCTCAAAATCCCTAAATTACAAAATAAAGTTTCGTTTTAAAGGATTGGCACACGCAATTCAATAAAGATGCAAAAGTAGACAGCACCAGTGAAGTATCCGAGCTTGATATTGGCCTGAGCTCTATCAGCAAAGAGATCGGCATCGTTAGGATTAAGCTCTATGGCCTGAGTATAGAGATCGGCGGCGCTTTCAAAATCATCATCAACAAACGCGTTTTGTGCTTTGGCCGCTATTTCACTCGCCATAGTTGGTGCAGAGAAGAATTGAGAAGGGAATTTCTGTATGGGGATTTTTAAGCTTGAAGATCAGAGACTTTGAGTTGACTAGGAAATAGCGCAAACGGATTCCTCTTTATTCTGGAAACTTCTCCGAGTAGGACGAGGATAAGTGGACATCAGCTGTGGACTTGGTGAGATTGGGCTACTGAATTGGGAAAAGGATACAAATAGCATTCATTGGAAGAAAAGGTAAATTGTAGCATTTAAATTAGAATAATACTATTTACAATAGTTTACTATTGCAATCATTCTACGCGATAGATATGTGATAGTTAGCAATTTGATATATAAAACAATAAAAATTAAGACATATTTGATTGTTACTTTCTCAAATTCATTTCTAACCATACATTTTATAGGATATATAACTTTTATCAATTTTAATCATATATTCATCAATTTTTATAAAAAAAAATTAAATGTTAAATTTACTTTTATAAGAATTATTTTATCAATGACTACTTTTAGAATTTATTTTTCAACTAGCAAAATTTTTGAAAATTGATCTCTTTAACACTTACATTTTTAATGTGAATTGTACTAACAAAGTTTGTCACATAAATTAAAGTAACGTGTAGATGACCATATCTAACTAACATGATAAGAAAAAAATAGACATTTTCAAGAGAATCGTCTATATGTAAAGACCCTTCAAAATGAAATGAATCATCGTAATTTAATACTTTTATAAGATATTAAATATACAATAGAGATGAAATTTAATTTATAAACAGAACCAATTAGAGATGAAATTTCATTAGGTCATCTAGAAATTAGACATAATGTTGTATAAATCGAAAGTCTTTCTATTTAGACGCCACATAAATTGCAATTTATGGAATGCATTGGAGATGCTCTTGAATTTAAAAAAATTAACTTTTAAGTATAGTTAGGGGTAGGAAAAATCTTTATCCCTGACTAGAATAGCCTGCCCATCAGACTTCGTGCCCAACTCTTTATAATTTTATTTGTATTTTTATGTTTTTCAATTTAAATTGTATTATTAAAAAATAATTAATTAAATGAGCGCGATAAGTTAGGTTATTTTAATTCATGTGTTGCTTCCCAAAAAAAATCCCTTACCCCACCTAAATTAGTATAATAATGCTATCTAACACTAAGAGTGCTTGAGCACCAGCGTATATTACATTATATAATAAGTCTAATTAAATGTGAAATTATGTTATTCATATAATTATAATTTTTATTTAATGAACTTAATGCCAATTGTTGTCTTCCACCGACACATCGAACGGCTGTCGCGCCTAATTCGACTCACCATTATTAGGCCTCCTTTGTCTTCGCATTACCCTAGTTCCTAAGCCAGTTTCTGCTTTTCTAATTTCAGCCATTGCACTGCCTCTCTTTATTTGTTTGCTGCAGATCGGGAAAGGAAGCATTCAATGATGCCGGAGACTTTGGGCTTGGCATGGATTGAAAGAGAGACCCCTTAAAATTAGAAAATGAAAAGTAGAACTTATTATCTAAAAAAAGGTATATATGTTATGTTACCTATAACTTGGATACTATGTCACCATAAAAATCTACTTGAACTCACTTGGGATACCCCGATCACCACGCACAACCAACAAATATGAACCGCGACCATCCACTTCCAACAAATTTAACACACGAGAAATCTAATTCTTAATTAGGGTAAATATCGTTAACATTATAATTAAATTAAGGATCATTATAAAATTGGGGTAAATTGCAGTAATTTTCTTAGGGATGGACAAAAGTTACTAAAATCATTTGATCGAACCAGAACCAATCCAAAATCAAGAATGGATCAATTTTCGATTCAAAACCTAAAGAAAAAAACACGTATAACCCGATTTTTATTTTTAAATCATTTTATTAATTGTAGTCCGAAATGGTGGTTGGTGTACCAATTACGTCGAACATATTAAAGATAAGTTTTTTTTTTTTTTTTGGTAACGATTTTACGAATTTTTGGTTTTTGATATACAATCTTTAAATTTGTGCACTAAAAAGAACAAAATGTTGGGTACCCTTTTTTCTGGCTCAAATTGATATTCTTTTATGTTTTTCTTTACTACTAGTAAGAATATGTGTTGCATGTCTTAGTATCGAATGAATGATATGCATAATATTTTTAAAGTATTAATATTATTTTTTAAAGTAGTTAAGGTAATTGTTATTATTAAAGGAAAAATTAAAATTGTAATACACACATACATGTGAATAAATTTTTTTTATGAAATTATGTATATAATGTGAAAATGTTGAATAAATGTTGATTGCTCTTACTTTTGTATTTTGAAGTCATTATGTTTTTCCTTTCTCAAGTATATTTTCTGTTTGTGACGTAGCTTGGAAATTACTTCCCTGGAAATATTATAACAAATAACCTAATAGTCTAATAGTGAAACTTCTATAAGTAAAGTATTGGCTAATTTTAGCATTATAAAATACCTCTCCATCACAAAAAATTAGTTTTAAATTTTCAAAATGGTCGCTCTTATTGCTGTAAATCTCAATGGAACCTTTTTAAAGTATACATACTTTTATAATACAATCTTCTTCAAAAACATTCAGTTGTCTTATAGAGATATAATCGTAATCTTTGTTTGGTGACATCAATCCTACAAATATGAAAACAAAAATATATATTAATAATTAACAAAACGGAAAAAGTTAATATTTTTCAAACTAAACTGACGACTTGACTTATTTTGTTGATTTATTAATGAATTAGACCTTGTTTCTATTAGTGCTTTCGACGATGATGTATACATTTGTAATTTTTCTAGCATTCAAAATATAAAATTCATTGATATGTTAGTTTAATAATTTATTTATTAATGTTGAAAAAATCATATAACAAATGTAGGACATATCATACAACACGTCTTTATCAAGATTGTGATTGTGCTAAATACCAATATGATGCAGTGACACATATGTTAATTACAATTAACTCTTCAAATTTTTTTTAGTGCCGAAAATTGGGTATATATGAAAAAAGAATTCTTACATGATTTTATTTAATATAAAAATCAGTCAAATACCAATACAAAGTGGTTGATGTTCACGTTTCAACAAAATCCTAATTGCCAAAGATTAATATAATTGCACCTATGCTAATGTTCTCTCATCTATCTTAAAAGTAATAATTAAATCATAGTTTCATATATAATAAAACAACTAAATAAAAACCATAAAATTAGAAATATTAAAAGTATAAATCATAAAGCCAAAGATAAATCACAATGATGGAAAGAGATTTGGTATATAAATGTACAGTGAAAGATGACTCCACAAAGTCATAAATATGAATATATTTGCATGAATATGATGAGACAATAATACTTCCGACTGTCATGTGCTTAGGACACCCAAACGCCTGTGTGTATTAAACTCATGATATTAGAAATTAAATTAAAATGTGAATGTCGTTTACACTTTATCAACTAATAAGTGGCTTATGTTCAACATTTAGATGAACATTACTAAAAGTATTAAAATATAAAAAATAGAGAGAAAAAAGAATTACATTGTCTTTGTAGCATAATACTAGTCGTTATCATGTGCGTTACACAAGTTTTGTATTTATTGCATTTTGATTAGCATCAAAATTGTAGATTTTCCAAAATTTGGTGAAATCCGATCGTTTGGTTCATTGCTTTATCGCTGGATGCACAGAGTGATATCCGTGCTGCACAGAGAGTTTTTTTCATTTTCGAAAAAATATTTATAATATGTAGGGTTGGACATGATCCGGTTCGATTCGGTTCTAACAACAATCGAACCGGACCGTAAATTTTAGAGTATTTAGTAAGTGGAATTGTGGGATCCAAATTTAAATATGGAACTGTTCGGGTTCAGTTCCATTCGGTTCGGTTCGGTTCAATTCCATTGAGTTCCCAAATTTCGTATTATAATTAATTTTTTTAATATTTACAAAGTGACATTAATTCAACTAATGATATATTCAATCTTAACTCTTACAAAATAATGCCATACAATCTTATGTCTCTTTTGCGTCTCTCTTTACTGAGTTCTTCATAGTTTTAATTGTTAAAATTACAAGAAGAGGAAAAAGCAAGTACAAAATAATTAAGAGAGGCATTATCGAATTTCAATTCGATTTCTCTAGAACAGTAAAAATGACACCATGGTAGAGTAACATATTTAGATAAAACTCAGGTCAATTTGATTAAGTTGGCTTTGATTTAAAAATTAGAAATAGGAAAATTATAATTTTGGGTTTGAACTAAATTGATTAGTTAGCAAGTTTATTTAAAATATAATAATAATTTGACTTATCTAAAATAAATTAATTAAAAAATTAGCGAGATTCGATTCTTATTCGGTTATTCGATTCTTGATCTAGAATCGAAAATCAAATCAAACCCGTCGATTCTCGATTTGGATACCCGTTCGAATATTTAATTTAAGAAGAACAGCTCGGTTCGATTTGGGTTTGGTTAAACCGGTTCGATTCGGGAGTTTGTCCAGCCCTAATAATATGAACAAAATAAATTAAAAAAAGAAAAAATAAA